GATGGAGAGTGGATACTTGTTCGACCTCTGTCTCATAGTAGTTTTTCTTCTTTGGCTAGCCAGAGGTTAGATATGGCCATGCAGTTCACTTGGTTGTTTTCTGGAAAGAATATGGAAAGTTAAAGTTTATTTTGTTTGGTTGTGTCATTGATCATTCCTGCCTGAAGTGGCAAAAATGAATATGATTAATGCATATTTTGAGCGCAGAGGACCATGCTGCTTAGAGAAAATGGCTGACAGAAGGTCAAAATGGTTAACAAAAAGCCTGGCTCTGGCTTGATGCTAATCCCATACTTTGTATCAATGTAATAGTTTAGATAAGGATTGAACTTGAATGTTTTAAGAATCCAGTTTAGGATCTGATGCTACTTTGTTTATACTGATTTCTTCTGCTTATTGTTATTGATATAATGGTAATGTTATTGACATAATGATATTAGAAATGATTATTGGGAAGTATGAAAATAGAGAGCTTGTAAACCCAATTGTCTTCTGTCATTAAAATTGTGTTGTTAAATGGGTTAGGACATGCCTTCAAAGAAGTTCTCTGAAAGGATAAGCCCCGCACAGTGCTTTGGAATACTCAGGACATTTGCTTTCCAAGACACTTGCCTAGTGGGCTGTTGACAGATTGAAGAAAAAGGAACTTTTAGCTTTTTGAATCTTGAACTAGTGGTTTTTGTCAAAAGCTGGAAAAAATCTGTAGCCCTGAAGAAACTCTCCACTCTAGGACTGAACTGTTAAAGAGAGCCTGTGGGCAAGCTGAAATGCTTGCTAGGTGACCATCTGGATTCACTTGTTGAGTGGAAGTGAGAGAATTACAGCAATAAAAAGATGGGTTGAGTCTGGCCACTGACACCCATGGACCTGGTTGTCAGGGAGTAGAGGAGAAGATGAGAGCGGGTTAACTGGTCTGAAGTTCATGACCTAGCACAAGGGGGCTGGGCTTGTTGAGAATTTATGACAGTGCACATGGTCTACAGGCGAGGTGACAAATGGGCACCCTGATGAGGCTAAGTGAGGCAGCCCACATTGAGTTGGCCAGACCCTGACCAGATGAAGAGAAGATTTTTGAGCCTGTGACCTGGTGCATATTGCTGCTGACTTTATGAATGGCCTGTCCCAATTTGACTTTGCTTATGGATGCGGAGTTCACAAGGTTCCAACTGGAATGAAGATTCTTCACATCAAAGAATATGATTGTTTCCTCAGAGCACTGGGTTGATTTAACTGGGCAGAATAGAAATTGGCTTCCCAAAATTGGGCAGATAAAGGCATGAAGTGACTTGCTCACAACTTTCAAAAGTGGGTCAATAGGGTATTCATAGGGTTATAGGAATAAGGTGTAGGTGTTACTTAACTACAATTGTTAGGCATAGGATATTTTTGTTTTGTTCAAATATAGAATGTTATGTTTAAATGAGGGTTTCACATATTGAATTATATGCATTTTATTTTTATCCTGTTAGGTACAGATAAGATTTTAGTATTATTTGTTTGAATTATATATGGCTAAAGAGTTGTATGAAAGTGTCACATTGACAAGGGGTGGTCTGTGGTAGTTATATAATCTGTTGTCAATTTGATAAATAGCTCACTGGAGGTAGGACACAGGCATACTCTCTGTGAGACATTACTGACAATGAGCCTGATGGGCCTATGCTGATTCAGCCAGAGCCTGGGACTGGAGGAGCCATGTGGAGACCCACACCAGAGCTGAGATGCTTCTATTGCCACTGGATCCACAAGACTTTCCACCCACTGGCCTGTGATCATCCTGCATTTGGCATCGTTGTGTGTGTTTCGTGAGTCTGAAGAGGCATTTATAAATTGGTATTAGACATATGGGCTAATATTGGACTTATGGACTTGATCCTGACAGCGCTGGAATATTTTCTCAATATTCAATTGCTCTTATATATAAAGTTCTCTCATACGCATGAGTCTCCCTGGATTTTTTTCTCTAGTCTACCCAGACTAACACATTAATCTTCCAGTGTATGTTCTCACAGTGTATATGCATATATAGCTGTTGCCTGCAGTACATTTTCTCTTTTGATATAGCCTCTGAAGACACAACAGGTGTCTGTAATTCATTGTATCTTCAACATTATAGTTGTTTCTTTGTTTTATTAACAACCCTTAAACATACATTAACATAGCGTTTCTTTGTAACCATTCTTTATGTTTGAATAGTTTGTCACAGGAAAATGTGTGCTGATAAGATATACATTTTTGTGCTTTAATTTCTTTTTTATGAGTGAGGATTAAAAACTATATGGTATTGCATAAGTTATCTTTTCTCAATGGTTCATTAAAACACGGAATCCTAAAGCTTAGAGAGATCTTAGAAATCTCATACCTGAATATGATAGATAAGATGAAGGACCTAGTTATATTAAAAATATAAATATTTTACAACTCTGTGTTGCCTTACAATTAAAAATAAATTAGCGTGAATACCCTAACTTATCTATAACAACTCAGAATTTTAAACAGAATCCAACATTTTATAGACTAAAGTATGCAGAGCATCGTCATCTCAATAATTAACTAGTGCAGCTGAGAGTAGAACCAGATCTTCTTATTCTTATGGGCTTTTATGTGCTGAGTGCATTGCACAGTGAAGAGTATTAGAGTAGATATCTTCGGATAAGACTTTTTTGTTGTTTTTTGTATCCCAGTATGTAAACCCAACTATCCTCCCTACCTCAAACCAGTGGACCTCAATTTCTATGAAACCAATGAAATACCATGTTATCTTCAAAATCAGTTGGAACCTAACTTTAAAAACAAAGGTGCTTAACTTTCTTCCTAATTTGTTGTTAATGATTAGAAACATTGGCTGTGAAACCTTTCAATATCTCTCTATTTCACAGCTCAAGATAGCGAGTGGATAGGGATAATAGTAAGTTTTCTTGCCCTTGGTTTTATCTAATTTTTGTGGCAAATAATTAATTTGTAGAATTTTGAGAGAAAGATAATAGATCCATTGAGCAGAATTCTGTTGCTACTGATTTTATAGGAAAAATCGAGAGTCCCAGCATTGTATGGAGGCAGAATTGTAGTCTCCAAAAATCTGTTTAGTATTCAGTTATGTACCATATATTTCACTATTGATATTAGTGAGGAATGACTTGCTATGCTTTGTGAAGTGTATGTCATATGCTAAGAAGTGTAACAATTACACTTACAGCTAATATGAAAACATTCCTATATTATTAGGATATGTGTTAGGACAATCGTGGGACCCTCCCATACCTTACACAGTAGGCATTTTTTTTGGTAGTCACTGGTCTACAGAGAAGTATCAGAGCCCTTATTACACTGATTGTGTATCAGTAAATGGACATTTATCAACATCTTCAGAATCCATTCCAATATACCTTACTTTTAAAACCTCACAAAATTAGATAGAGAAGAATTTCGGGTGTTTGCCCTTCATATACTGGTTTCTCTCCTGATTTTGGTTGAACCATTTAGGAAAAAAAACCAAATAAACCCTTAAATTGTTCTGAAAGCTAGAAGACAAGATGATAAAGATTGCTTTGAAGGCTATTGTCCCAACCCACAGGTGCCAATTCCTTGACATTTTGCTCCAGTTGCAAATAATGGTTCTATACGTCTACATTTGGTGAATGAAAAACCCTTAAGAAAGATAGTGAAGATTTTGTTGCTTGTCTCTCTATGTTTCAAGGCATTCTCTAAAAAGGACACTTTGTGCAAATCTTCTTTGTGCTCTCTCTCACTTATGATCTTATTAACATTATATAGGGAAATACTTGTTTAGCAAGAAAGGAATCCAGATGAAGAAATCTCATTCGATACCTAGATGGCTTCATTGTTCAAAATACTTAGAGAAAGCTATTAATCTTTTATTTTAATTTCAGTGTATTTTTTGGTTTCCTATATGGTATGCTAGAAAGATTTCTGTTTGGTTTGAGTTGTAGTAATTTTTGCTGGTTTTTTTTCAATTATTTTGAAGCACTACGTTTCCTGGGAAAGTTTTTTCCCCCCTGTACTTTTGATAATAATAATTTCAGGTTGATAGCTTTTAACAATAACCTGAGATTGCTTTAATTCAGTTACAAGGAGCCTTCATTATAAAACATACTACTAGCACTATTGTTTTTAAAAAAAGGCTTAGGCTTGTCATGTATTTGTGATATTCCCAGAGTTATTTTTCATTAGTATATCTTGCCTCTTGACAGTTTGAACAAAACGTTTTGTTTTAAATTCTTATCTAATTATGGTAATTTTAATTTAACTTAAATGTTATTTATGGCTTATTTTTAGTATCAAATAAAAATACATTTAGCATATGCTTTTGAATTTTATTTATATCCTATATTTATTTAAATAATTATTTTACTTTTACTTAGTATTACTTAAAGTAAAGATGTTTACACAGTTACAAAATCTTCCTGCTCATTTTTAAGCTTCAAAGGAAAGGTTTAATTTAATATATATATATTAAAAAAAACCTTTATGTTGGATAGAGGAAATATTTTAAGAAAATACTCTTTTGTTCCAGAATCTGGCTGTAAGACCTTTAACATATGCCTTGCTTGACAAATAACAGCAAGCGTCCTTGTTGATAATTGACTGCAGATGGCTACTTCTATCACTGGCTTTACTAGCCATAAATATTTATTTCAGTGAAAGCCCTTTTCCTCCCAAACATTGACACTAAACAGATTGACACTAAACAGAGTTTGGTCTTTTCTCTTTGCTTTCTTCTTTTTGTCAAAACTTGTTCCATTTTCTGAGCAAAGTCAGTAACTTTGCAAAAGGTATATATATATATATATTTTTTTTTTTGAGAACCTCTCTCCCTTCAGCACACTAAATATTCTCCAGTACTAGAGAGTTATTTACTTAAAGAAATCTTGCAGCTTGGCTTGGAAGCAACTGAAATTGTATTGAAAATTAAAAGCATGCAAATTCTACACATACCCAATATTTATTCCAATTTTCAGAGTATCTTCTTTTATTTTTAGATGAATCTACGTTCTGTATTTACTGTAGAACAACAAAGGATTTTACAGCGTTATTATGAAAATGGGATGACAAATCAAAGTAAAAATTGCTTTCAGCTCATATTACAGTGTGCACAGGAGACTAAGCTGGACTTCAGTGTAGTCAGGGTAAGTATTGAGGTGTTCCACTCTCAAATTTATAGAATTTCATTACAAGTGAAGTGATATTTCTTAACATGAGAAATAAATATTCAGGGTATGAAGTCCTTAACTTTTATAAACAACTTCATTTCCCTGGCATAATAATATTAATTTTTGAGAGGTAGAGGGAGCTCATCTTTTAGTATGTATTTACTTGCTTCTACAAATTTCTTGGTAACTCTAAAACGTTGCAGTTGTAAACATTTCTTTAAAAATCCCAGTTCTGATTGGACTGATGGATTATAACAGGGCCTGCTTGATGTTTAACAGAGAGTTACTCATCTACTCTGGGACAGGACAATAGTTAGATTTGGAACTATTTGTATGGCCTCTGTCTCTATCACTCTTTCTCTCTTTTCTTTTGGTGTCTATCTATATAAGGTAGGGAGGATAAGCAATCCCAAGGAGACAGCAATGGGACCAACTCTTCTGTTCCAGGGACTGAGGGGTGGGGTGGGGCATGGGAGAGAAAGAGGTAATGACAGGGACAAGTGAATAGCAAGGGATATAAAATTGATGGTGAGGAGGGTGTAGCAATTGTGTTTGATCAATTGAAATGTATCTGAGAAAAATTACTGAGTAGCAAATGATGTTTAAACATGATATTGGGGTAGGAGGAAAGAACAAGAAAGTAAAAATTATATGTATAGGTATAAATGTAGATGTGCATATGTAAACATATATGTGTACATGTAATTATATAAAGTTAAGTGTATTTATACATATAGATTTATCTATACATATAAATACAACAAGGAAGCAGATGCACTTTGGGCCTCTCCTTAAATCTTGCCTCAGTACAAGAACGGTTTGTTCTAATACTGTGGCAATGTATTGCACTCACCTTCCTGACACAATTGCTGAAGACAAAATGGGTGCATAATCAAATGTGGTGAAGAAAGCTGATGGTGCCCACCTATTAAAAGATATGGCATCTGGGGTCTTAAAGGCTTGAAGTTAAACAAGTGGCCATCTATCTGGGCAGCAACAAAGCCCACATGGAAGAAGCACACCAACCTGTGTGACCATGAGGTGTCAATGGGAAGAGTTATCAGAAGTACAAAAATAAGCAATCAAATTTATGTGATGGAGCATGGACAAAGTGGAGACCCAAAACCCACCTGTAAAATAATTTGACAGTTCCTCACAGAAGAGCCACACAGAAGGGATGATATATCCAGGGTGCAGTATAACACTGATGAAACATGACTATCCTCTAGTTCTTTAATATTTCCTCCCATTACTATTATGGTCGTAGTTCTACCTAATTAATATTGTTAGAATTGTGTGTGTTCATTTGTATAAATAAGATTGTTCGATGCATAAAATCCAAGAAAGATAAACCCTTCAGAAATAGTAATGGGAGTAATGATTCCCTGAGGGTACAGGAAGAGAGGGGAGTGGACAGGGGAAGGGGGAACTGATAGCAATGATGAGTGTATAACCCCACTCGAGGGGAACAAATAACAGAATTGTAGGTGAATGGATACATTGGATGGTGTAAGATATGGCAATATATATTATATATAATATAATAATAAGGGTTCCTGAGGGGTAGGGGAGGGGAGGAAGGAGAAAAAGGGGAGTTGATATCAAAGAGTTCAAGAAGAAAGAAAATGTTTTGAAACTGATGGTGGCAGCAATTATATAATTATGCTTGATCTAATTGAATTATGGATTGTTATAATATCTGTAAGAGCTCCCAATAAAATGATGAAAGAAAGAAGTCCCAGTTCTTTGAACTAAAATATGTGCCTAGCATATTTTCTTGTTCTATTCTAATTTTTCATCAGACATTATGACTCAATATTTTTTATATTTTTAGGAAGGCATAGCCTTTTATAAATACCTCATCCTTTTTTCTAAGCAAAATGCATGCATTTAAATGGATTAGAAAGTAAGGAACAAGAAACTCAAAGGAGGGAGACTCCTTTATCACAACCATAGCCATTCAACTATGAAAACTCACTGCTGTTATCCGTTTGTGAAAGACAATGGTAGGTGATATAAAGAAGGGAAAAGGGTGCCAATAAAACTGTTGGGGGGAAAAAGAAGGGAAAAGCTAAATATATCTGAACTCATCATGGATATTATTGGGCACATATAGCCTTTCATATTTGAACATGCTACAAATTCTCTTGGCAAGAAATCTTAGGATTTTGAAGATTAGTAGATTTCCCATCATTGACAATTATTAGGCAAGTTTGGGAAAGAGAAAGGACATCAATTTTTTCTACAGGGTTACCTTCCAATGCTTTTAAGGTAAAAATCTTTTAGTAAGCAGAATTCTTTGAAGAATGCATTTCTTAATGATTAAACAATATATTTGCCTTCAAAGAAGGGATTATTTCACCAAGCATGTCTAGGACAAAAGCATACATAAGGTCTGTTTCATATTTGCTGAGCTCAGAAATAATACTCAGAAATATCTCCTATGAATGGTTATAGATGGCTTATTTGAAATACCTTAAGTAAACTTCAGAGAAGATTTTTAATTATCTTAGAAGAAGTAATGTCAAAATGTACATTTCAAGGTGAAGAGATTGCATTTCATATGTACAAATTTATTTTCCTTTTACAGTAATTTTCTTCTATTTTACCATGACTTAATACTGTAAAGGCCTTCACAGGCAGTTCTATTTTAGACTGTTAACTTTCATATTTCTAATTTATTGCTATATTTTAACTCCACCATTTTTGCTTGACTATGTGAGTTTTGAAACAGATTTATACATTTATGTGAACTCTAAAACAAACCAAAATGAAGATAAAATTCATGTAATATAACATTATAAGTAAAATGTTATATAAATAAGCAATTGTGTAAAGTAGATCCATTCATTGGATCCCTGAAGAGCCTAATTGTATAAAACTCCAGTCCTAACCTAAACAGGGAGTCCTATAAGGTAAGCAGTGAACTGCTAACTTCAAGGTCTGCGATTCAAAGCTGCTGGGAGAAAGATGAGGATAACTGTTCCTTTAAAATTTTACTGCCTCAGAAACCCTATCTATATCTATCTAGCTCCCTGTCTGTCTGTCACTCTATGTATCTATCTAGGTGCATATATATCTATATTCGGTCTCTGTGGGTTGGAATTGACTCAACAACAGTGGGTTGGACTTCTTATAATATTTAAATAATAGCACAATTCCGTGGCTTTTTCAGTCAGAAGAGGGGTTGTTTATAAACTCATCACTCCACGATTCCCCCTCTCATACTTTCATAGATAGATATACATTCTACTCAAAAGAGAGTTTTCTTTTGTATTTAAAATATAGTTTCCATCATGTTTTCACCTTAAAAGAATAAAAATCTCATGTACTAAAAAACTTGATCCCAATGAGACCTTACAAGGGTAAAAACATATGAACATGAACACATAAAGGGAGCAAAGGAGCAAGAGAACAAAGACGGTAGGAGAAAAAGAAAAAGAGGCTCAGAAAGAGCAAATATCCTTTTTAAAAACAGTTTTATTGGCACTTCATCCACATATCATAAAATTTAATTGTTCAATCATATCAAGAAGAGTTGTACAATCATTCCCACAATCAATTTTAGACCATTTTCTTCTTCTTTATATTCATTGTTATTCTTATAATTTTGTTTAAGTTGTCTTAAAGATATACACAACAAAACATTCTCAAACTCAACAACTTCTACATGTATAATTCAGTGCCATAGATTATGCTCCTCGTGTTGTACAACTATTATTGATATCCTTTTCCAAATTATTTCATCACCATTAACATAAACTACATGCTCCCTAAGCAATAACTTCTTCCTTCATCCATGCTAACCAAAGATAAAGTTTGGTTTACTTTTAAAAAACAATTGGTTACTTAATATAATATTCACATATCTTATGCTTCCATAGTTAAATCTCTCTTAAAAAGGGTTGTATATACATCATCATAATCAGTTTTAATGCTCCTTCCCCACTCCTGCATTCATTGTTAGCTCACCAATTCCCATCACCCTCTCCACTTTACCCTCACCGTGTCATTCCCCATGAACCATTGCATCAATTATTGTCTCTATGCATTCACTCCTTCAGTGCTTCCTAAACTGGGAAACCTAACAGAAACAATAAAAAACAAAACAGAAAGAAGAAAATAATACTAATAATATAAAGATTAAAGGAAATAAGAGCAAGAAAGAAAAGACCATGAACAATATTTTAAAAGCCAGATAAGAATTTTTTGTTGTGGAACAAGTGAGAAATATTTGAGCCTAGAAAAAATTCAGGTTGGGTTAAAGGGAGGTCAGCTGACCAAGTACCATATTGTACCATGCTTCAAACCACCATAATCAAGTTTACAATAATTTCTGTCTGACAGTAAAGCTGTTCTAGTCCCTAGCCTATGGCTATAGAGGACCAATCAGAGCCTTAATCTGACTAGATAGTCTGCAGATGGATTTTGGGCTACCACTGGTCTCCATAGCCTTTTACAAATTGGGTGTTCATAATTTAAGCCCTGATACATTTTCCTTTATCATATTTATATTTTGTTAACATCATCTTTGGATCACACAGGCTGGTGTGCCTCTTCCATGTGGACTTACTTGAGGCCTTGCTTAGATGGCTGTCTGTTTGAATACAAGCCTTTAAGACACTATTCACATTGATAGTCGGGTACAATTTGCTTTCTTCCCACACTTTGCTGTAGCACACTTATCTTCAGTAATCTCTTCTTGAAGGCTAGTATTGAACATGGCCATGTTATAAGTACTAACTCTTCTTGGATCGGGGCTAGAAATACATACGAGCCCAGAATCCATCTGCTTGTCCACGAGTTATAAATTAATCTGATTTACTTTGGTGGTCATATTATGACAAAAACGAAAATCAAAAAGAACAACAAAAACAAAAATAAACACCCCCAGCTACCCCCCTCCCCCCAAAAAACAAGAACCAAAAGAGAAAAGCATTGTCCATTATCCCACTGGGGTATAAATCGATTGCATT